CTGACTCGGAGCATTCGGACGCTGAGGTTTCCTATACTGAAAACGGGATGTTTAACCTTTCAAGGGGCCAGACTCCCCTGACAGAGGGATCAGAAGGTGAGAGGAAATGGAAAGCTTCTGGAAGGTGTGGAAGGCTGAGCAGGTGCCAGTGTGACGGGTTGGAGAGAGGAGGATGCATTGCCTTCTGTCCTTGAGGTCTAGCTGCTTGATGTCTGTCTTGCTGCCTAAGATGAGATGCAACTACCTGTTTTTTCAGAACTGAGCTTCCTTCTTAATTCCTGTGGTGCTTTAGTAGAGCAATGACAGCTGCTCTTCAAAGGCAGATCCAGCTCTGCCAGTCTCTGGCTATAGGGATACAGGCTGCAGTGCAAAGTCTGGGAGGGGGTGCTTTCCTTTGGCAGAAGGTGTCTGGTTCAGCATCCGCATTCTTTGCGAGTGAACTGGGAAGTCAGCAGGCATCCCAAATAGCTGTTTGAGGGGGAGATTAAAGAGCATTTGGTCTGTGAGATGACAAGAGACAGTCTGTCTTGGGGAGGTAATGGCCCAGCTTTTGTGTGCTGTGCTGCCCTTGCCTGCAGGGTGTTTGGTGTGTGCTGTGTATTTAAAGCACTTTCTCCTCTTCTAGACCTGGATGGTCACAGTGACCCAGAAGAATCTTTTGCCAGGGATCTCGCCGACTTCCCTTCCATAAACCCAGAAGCAACTGGCATAGATGACGAAGATGACACCAGCATTGGGATCCCAAGTCTGGCTTACCGCCCACAAGTGGCAGAAGATCTGCATCTCCCTTATGACCAGGAAGAATCCGGCGCACTGCCGTCTGTACAGAATCTTACTAATGACATAGCCGGATTTGTCACCAGAGGGATGATACAGTTTGCGCTGTCAGGAGCCCCTCAGCCAGGCTTCTCACGCAGCGACAATCCCCAGAGAGGTGCAAAGACTTATCTTAGAACGGCCAGCTCGGACTTGGACACTGATGCGGAAGGAGATGACTTTGAACTGCTGGATCAGTCTGAGCTGAACCAGCTGGATCCTGCTGGCTCACGGGGCCAGTAAGCAATCCTATCACTTCCCTCTGGTTTTCTGTTGTGCATCGTGGAGGGAATCCTGGAAGGAAGAGCCTTGCACAGTTACCTAGATTGTCTCCTGTGTGAGTATGACTGATGTGACAGCCAGTCCTGGCTGGGAACACCACTGTGACTTGTGACTCTGTAGCCTCGCTTGGATTTTAAAATAAACTACACTGGTAATTCATAGGGAAAAGGCGTTGATGTGATAGTTCCACAATCACCCATGCGTTGCCCTGCACTGTCTGCCAGGATGCTGCTTGCTCCAAACTTCCTCACCTAAGACAATAAATCTGGTGTCTACAGCTCTAGAGACCACCGATCAGACTGACTAAGCATCACTGAGGACAATCTTGAAGCCAACCTTCCGGGGCTGATGCGTAACCAGGTGAACTGGATTGGTTTCCCCTCAGACTTTAGTGTCTGGGACTTAATGCTATTCTGTCTTTAAGACAACTGTTCCCTGCTCCTAAAACGTGCACAGAATCCAAGTCTTCTCTCCCAGCAATATCTAGCTCCGGACAGAAACAAACCCCTTGCTCCTGTTGTGGCCATGACGGTGTATGACCACAATGTTTGTACTTGCAATGACCACTCATCTCCAGTTCCAGCTTTCTAGTGATGCTATTTTGTAAGAGACGTGATGGCAATAAGACATCTACTGTGATGACTAGAGTCCTGCAAAGAACATCTACATGTGGCAGCTGCTCTTGTGTTGCTTTCCTAAAATAATGGACTAACACTTTGCTAAAAACCCCCTGTGCCCCTCCAGCACATGTCTGGTGTGGACAGTGGCAATACTGCACTTCCCCTGATGCTGCTTCTGGGGGAACTGCTAGGGACAGGTTTTCTGGAGGAGGGAAAGAGGTGGAGCTGGTCTGCCCCGCCAGTTTTGTTCTGGCCCTGGGGACAGCCTGCTGCTTCCCAGCCTTGTGCAGTTGAGAGCCCGCCGGTAGGAACCGAACAGGGAACGCCAGCCTGAGCCACCAGTGACCGAAGAGCTTGTGCCCGTTGTGGTCCCGTAAACAAACCAGCAACCTACACGGGAGAGACGTTCTGTTAGCTGGATGGCCCAAGCCCTCCGGCCCTCTGCCCCACTGAGCTTTCCCATTGCTTTTTCTAAGCCATAGAACCTGACTCCGATCACGTTTGTGCAGCAAAGAACGTACCTCTTCAGGGAAACCCCTTTATCTGCTGCTTTTTGTCTAAATCCGCTTGCCTGCAAGTGTTGGTGGCTGTATGGCTGCTCGTGGTGGCCTGGGGGTGGGGGGCGGCTGGTCTGGGCGCTGGGTAAGTGGGGGGTGTCGTTAACGGGTTGTGTTGTACCAGCATAAGCCTCGGCGCTGGCCTCCCACGGTCCTGGGGTGCCGTGGCAGTGGGCAGGTGGGGGGAACGGCGGGCGCTCCTCGCCCTTGCGGGTTTAGGACCGGTTCCCGTCTAGCCCGGGGGTGCGGAGGCCCTGGTCCAGCCCTGCCCGTTGGCCCGGCGCTCTCCGGCCACCGCTTCGCCCCACGGCGGCCCGGCCCGGGCACGCCGCGCTCCTCCGGGTCGGGC